CCAAAGCAAAAGGTCAAATAAGCCAAAGAGGTAGAGTGGATTTAAAATGGCCCCTGAGGATCAATTAACACCTTACAAAGGTTTATTAAGCATTCACTTAATTGCTTTTTAACCACAGTATACGTATACTGTAATGGAGATTAATAAACCTTGAACGGGTTAGATATAGATTTGTTTTAAGAAAAGGAGGCCTGTAGACCATACATCAGACAACTAAACATCCACACATATATTTACTCCCCATAGGAATGAAAATGCCATTACAAGCTAGCCTCATTTGATTTTCATGACAAGGATGTTGTGCGGTTATTTTAAATGATCGCTCATTTTAAGTAAAAGTACTACTTATGCACATAAGTAATGTAAATTAAATAAAATATTTGTAAACCACCAACTTTTCAATTAATCATTAACTATCCAAATGCTTCTTTTGAAATATACTACATATTATGTAAATTATTAGACATTCTAGAATAACTGCCAGGAAGATTCAAGAGAATCAGAAGTCACTTTTCCTAGGTAAGCACACATTTAATTGAGTGTATTTATAAAATGATTACTGAACTAGAGTAGTTTTGAGCAAAGAAAATGCTTGGCAATCAATCCAACTGTTTATTGCTTAGATATTTGAGTTATAGAAACTTCCAAAGTAATTTGTTGGAGTAAAGAATTATGTGAAGAGTATATACAGTGAACCCTCGTTTATCGCGGTTAATCGGTTCTAGACCCTACCGTGATAAATGAAATTCCGCGAAGTAGGATTCCTTATTTGTAAATCAAATATTTTCGTAGTTAGAGCATAGAGGACATGAAAAAACACCCTTTAGTCACCATTACACTCGTATTACCCAATTTATTAAACGAAAAAGGGAAAATACAGTAAAACATTTTGGACGTTACAATGATCATTTATTATTTATTATATTATTTATGGCATCTAGTTTACAGTATTACATATTTCACATACAGTATTATTATACATAGTTCTTACAAGTACTGTAATCAATAGCCTATGAAATGACTTAAGGGATGTACTCTACAGGTGGGTCGCCGTCTTTTTCCTCTGAAGGGGCGGGTGTAGGCAGTGGGCGCTGTTACGCAAAAACCGCGATAGAGTGAAGCTGCGGAAGTCGAAGCGCGAAGTGGCGAGGGTTCACTGTATATATATATATATTTATACAGACAAGCCAATCAGGGTGCAGGGTAGCAATGATGAAACATATAACTTTCCTCTAGTTCTTAAATGCTTCCTCCCCTCCACTATCATGATCCCAATTCTACCTTACAAATAAGGCTAGACCAGAGGATGTACATTGGTACAGATAGCAACTGGAAACACAGGGAATCCAGGACAGATGACTCCTTCAGGACCAGAGGTGAGAGGGGCAAGGCCTGGAGGGTAGAGGGAATGTGGGATAGAAAGGGGGAACTGATTACAAGAATCTAAGTATTGCCTCCACCCTGGGGGAGGGACAGCAGAGAAGAGGGGGGGAGGACCTCAGACAGTGTAACTCATGACAAAACTATAATGAGTTATGAATTATGAAGGGTTCATGAGGGAGGAGGGAGTGGGGAGGAAGGGGGAAAATGAGCAACTGATATTAAGGGCTAAAGTGGAAAGCAAATGTTTTGAGAATGATGAGGGCAACAAATGTACATATGTGCTTGACACAATGGATGCATGTATGGATTGTGATAAGAATTTTACGAGCCCCCAATAAAATACTAAAAAAAAGAATGTAATATTAGAAGCATTGTCTAGAATTTCAGTATGTTGATTAACTTGTCTTGCTAAGATATGTTGAATATGACAACTCATGGATGTCAACCATATAGCCATTCATTTGGTAGCTCCTGAGTGACAGAAATGATGGTTCAATTTCTAGATGCAATAGCAGTAAGATAATTGAATTGGCTTTATTTGTAAAAGAAACTGTAATTTTGTTAGAATTCTTTAAAAAATTAATCTTTATTATGTCAACGTCTTCTTCTCTATGACTTTCGACATCTTGAAACTACATTTAATTGATTCATAAATAAATGATAAATTACGATTTGTTAGTGTTTCATGTTAAACAGTTAAAAGGACAGTTCTTTGTTAGCTCCTGAACCAGCCTGAGCTCTTGAAGGTAGAGTTGTTCTAGCATATTTGCAACTAATTGGCATCAGGCCCAATATAAGGAAAGTTCTCTTCTGAATATATAGAGCTATGTATTTTTTATCTTTTTCAATTGTCATTTCACTTTACTTAGAAGAATTTCATGCTACGTTTACATTCAAAATCATATTTGCAAATTTAACAATTTAGATGAATTACATTTAAATATCCATTCCTCTCTACTTACATGTTACATGTAGATTGTTAAATATAGAAAGGTTGTTGTTATTCTTGCTAGGTGTCATGAAGTCAGTTCTGACTCACAGGGACCCTACGTGCTACAGAGTGAAATGCTGCCAGGTCCTGTGTCATCCTGACAATTGTGATGTTTGAGCCCATTGTTGCAGTCACTGTCGTCAATCCATCACATTCAAGGTCTTCCTCTTTCTCATTCCCCCCTGCTTTACCAACAGTCATGTCCTTTTCCAGGGACTGATCTCTCCTGCTAACATGTATAAAGTGTGTGATAAGTAAGTGATAGGCTTTAACAGTACTTTAAACATAATTCATATTACCCCAAAAGTAAAAATATAAGTATTACTCAATATATCTTAGTAGTTTTAGCTCATTATTGTTTATCTCAGTATCACACAAAGTACTGAATTATAAACATAACTTTTAAATTGTGGGTTAATGACATCAGTACGGCAGGAGAATGTAAATGGAATTTCACAATAACAATGAAAATGAGCTGTAGATGACACATTCTACTACGAATGACGATTGGTGTTAATGGAGAGTATGCAGACAGAAATGACTTATTGTGTTTTTAATGTTATATATTTAAACAAATTAAAAATGATATATCAGGTTAGAAAGTTCCTGAAAGAGCAATATCTATTGAAATCACTTAATCATATGCACTTCTGAATTTTGCATTATTTTTGCTGGAAAGTGTTCTCTGTCCTGCTTGTGATGTGTAATTTCACATTGTTTTCTCCCCTAAGGGGAATACTTACTTGATTCAGTTCTTGGATAAAAATGATCTGCCACCATTGCTTGCTTCCAAGGGCTTTTTTTTTCTTTTTTGCCTTTTTTTTTTTTAAACCACTGAATACCGAGAGAAACATCAAGGCACTGGGGACTTCAGTCCAGCTGTTGTGGCATAAATCAATATTTAAATACACAATAGTGATTTTCCTCCCTAGAAAGTAGTGCTTTTGTGCGCTTAATTTCCTGTTTTATTAAAACGTCCAACTTTCTGTAGGAAGAACTTCAAATTAAGCTTTGGCTTCTTTTTAAGTTAATTTCTCAAGACCTGGATACAGAAGAGCAATAAGACTGTTTTAATGCTTAATTCCTCCGCTCTGTTGGGCGTTTCTGAAACTGTGAATTTCATGAATGGACAGCAATCGTGTTCTGGGTTAGTTCCGGAACTCGTTGCTTGGCGACCCCTTTTGCCTTCAACAAAGGTTAACCTGGCAAACAATGAAATATTTATAAGTATCCATGCCTAGAAAGGAATCTCTATTCCCGTGATTCTAAATATAGATGTCAGGGGAAGGGCAGGACTGCCTTTCACGTAACCCCTATTCGGAAGATTGGAGCCTTTGGATACATTCGTTTATGCACTGAACTCGCGGACGCATGATATCATGGTTTAGTACTAGAAGGTGGTAAATTCCCTTTTTATGATTGTATTATCGCTCTTGGTTTACAGTGAGAACAGCTGTCATTCTGAGGCTACCCATCAAACCCACTGATCTTGTCAAGCCTGTTCCCAGTGCTCAGGTAACCCTCTTTCTGCCCTGTGCCCCTGGTCCCTAGAACGGTGCCCTGCCTGGGTGCACAGCCGGGAGAATCACAATGCCAATGTCAGCCTGGTGCCCACCAGCGCCTGAGCGCTCTCACCCAGGCTTTCTTTACCTCTCCCAACAGAACAGCTAAAGCTAGAGGTTAGAGGATGCGGCTTACTAACAATCCCAGTCATTCACCTGCAACCTGAAAACCAAAGGCAGCCTATTAAGTTTGCGTTGCCATGATTCCTGTGCTGGGTTTGCTGATGCTGAAGCCAACGCCTGGGTTGCTTCACTTTTCTTGCTGCCCACTAAGGCGGTGTGGAACGAGGCGGGGCGGGGGGAGGTGACCGGCCCCACGCGAGGGGACAATACGACCAGCGGACTCCCTTGCACAGAGAAGATCAAGATCAAAGCTTTCCCTCCCGCCCTCCATCGCTGGCATAGGCCCTGGGGCCCGTGTGCGTCACCGACAGGGAGGAGGCGGCGGCGCCGAGGCAGGGAGAAAACTGGACTGCGAGGACCTTGACAGCTCCGCGGCGGGCTTTTCCTTTTGCCTCGCTCCCTTGCTTGCCTGCGATCTCGGATTTGCTCCGGGACCAACTGCCTGTCTCCCGCCGCGCCTCCTCGCCGCCCGGAAGGCACTGGCCTGACTCCACCGGACCCGGCAAGCGATCGCGGTGCGCTGGGCGCCGGGACGCAGGTGCTCCCAGAAGGCTCGCTGAGAGCGCTTCTCCAGGACTTGAACTTGGGGCTCTCGCGTGCCTTCTTTGGCTCGCTCGCCCCAGCAGGGAACTCCGAGCTGCCAGTCCGCGAGCACCCACCCCCTCTCGGCAGAGCCTCTGCCCGGGGAGCCTCCCAGTGAGGGGTCTCCCGCAGCCCCCCGCCGCCCCGGGGCGCGCAGAGCCCCCCTGGCTGGAGCATCCGCTTCCACGGGGGCGTCCTTGCCCAGGCAGGGCGCCCAGCCCTCCGCGCCGCGCCTCGCATCTGCCCCCAGGGGTACCGAGGGGGCACCCGTCTTCCTCTCTGTCCCCACCTGCACCCCTCCAGGGCTCCGCGAGCCTCCCCCAACAGCTGGCCGGTCCCTGCCTCGCGGAGGAGCTGAGCCCCCTCTGGCTGCCTGGTGGAGAGCATGTCAGGCTCCGGGCGGAAAGACTTCGATGTCAAGCACATCCTGAGACTCCGTTGGAAACTCTTCAGCCACCCTTCGCCCTCCTCTGGGGGGCCGGCGGGGGGCTGCCTGCCCCAGGACGGCGGCGGTGGCTTCGAGCACTGGGGGCCCAGCCAGAGTCGCCTGCTCAAGAACCCTGAGAGAGGCGGTGTAAGCGCCTTCTGGAAGAAAGCTGCTTCCTCCTCCTCCTCTTCCTCCTCGTCTTCCTCCTCCTCGTCGTCCTCCTCTTCCTTCCACCCACTGAATGGCACATTGCTGCCCGTGGCCACGCGGCTGCAGCCCGGGGCTCCTGGGCAGGCGCCCCCGCCGGCGGCGCGGACACTGTTCTACGTGGAGTCCATAGAGGAGGAGGGGGCGCCCGGCATGGACTTGGCGGGGCCACCGGAGAAAGGGCTGGTCCTGCAAGGGCTCCAAGTGGAGTCCGCCCACACAAGCCAGGCAACAGGTGAAGGAGGTGGACACAGGTACCGTAAGTCTCCAGGGGGCATTCAAGCATCACCATTCATTTCCCCAGGTGCTCTTCCAAAGGTTTCTCAATCTCCAACTTTCCGGGGAAAGTTTGGAGAGAGGGACGTCAGTCCCCCTTTTATTATCCAACTTGTAGTGTCATCCAAAGTTTGCTCGTTAATTTCGATTGCCTCACACCTATGACATTTTCCTTTTCTTTTGCAAGTGTCCAGAGTTTGTAACCCCTCGTGCGTTTTGTCAGCTGCTCAGATGATAAATTCTCATACTTCTGAGATGATACCTATCTTACCTTAGATGATGATCACATCTTTCAGTTAGCTGTTGTCTCGTGAGGCTTGCATTGAAGCATGCATTTCATATCTGGATCCTGGAACTGGTTTAACAAATTGTTTGGGCTGCCTTTGGCTAGACTCTAAGATGCAGGAGAAGGGCAAAGGAAGTCAGTGGACAACCTAACCCAGCCCCCAGCCATGAAGTCCAGGGCCGTTTGAGTCAGTCCTCTTGCCCCGTTTGGCCCTTGTGCTTGTGTGAACCTTTGCCTTGTCCTACTGAACTTCACCGAACTACACTGTGGTTGAATCCCTTTGAATTCAGCAGTCATGGTTTCTTTACTTGGTAGGGGAATTAGGTATTCACAGGAGGCAGGTCAACATACATTTCTAGTACCTTCCCAATATCACTCCTCTGTGCATTTTTTTTTCCGTAAGACGTCTAGAAAATTCTTCAGGTGAATAAATCTCCCTCTGATCTTTACTGTTTTGAGAGAGAGAATTGATGCACTATTACTCTGAACTTCACAATGACTAGTTTCTGTATAGAGTGATCACATGAAACTATTTGCATTGCAAATCTAAGAGTAGCAGGATATATTATTAAAGAAGAAATAGCACAGAAATATAAGGAGATGAAAATGAACGTACTAATAACTACCGATGACCTCATGGTTAAAAAAAATGGAAAAAGAAGAAACTTTTTGAAGTATTTGTGATGAACTTACCTGCTTATGTAATTAGTTTAGTAACAAAAGAGTACATAAACTTAAAATAATATGTATAGCATTATTTAATTATGCTGACAAATGTGCATGAGTTTATAGTCACAATAGAATTATCCCTAAAACTATGTATCTGACTGTATGTATTCACATAGAATTCAAAAGCCTAAAAGATAATACATTATGTTTTATTATATTTGATAAAGCATAGACATCATCTCACTGAGGAAGAGTTTTATTTTCATAATGTTCAATTGAGTTAAAGCTCCCCTCCCCATGCACATACACACATAGGAGACTGACTATAAGTTTGTCTACTTAATTAGGTAAAATATTTTAGAAAAATATTTATAATGTTGAATCCAAGGAAGTTATTTGATTTGGAAATTCATTAGTTACCTATCATTTTATGCCACATTTATTTATTTTTTCCTCCCCTTGTAAAATATTTTGGGCTAAAGCCCACTGTTGAAAAAAATCACTTGTTCTAACATAATACATATGGGAAACTTATTTATAAATTAAATGTTTAAGCAATTCACCTTATATAATTAAAATAACAAATTTTTAACATGGATATAGATGTAAATGTATGTGTATATATATGTGTGTACAGACATATCAGGGAAAAATAACATTGGATTGATTTTGCTAAAGCCTTCTAGTTTGAAATATCCAACATTCTACATAACATTTTTAGAAGCACTATCTGTTTCATTCCATATAATTTTTAAAAAGTAAATAGCTTACATTTGTCACGAATACTTCCTTGAGTCTTTAAAATACATTGAATATTTTCAAAATGCTGACTTATGATGAACAAAGCATTTTTTAAATTGTACTAGTTAAGTTAGAAAAAAAATCAGTCTCTTACTTCTGAATATGCTTCTGTGTTTTCAGAATTATGACTGATAAGGAATCTGAAAATAATCAAGTTACCAATCAACATCATCTTTGTTGTTGAAAACTTAGTATCCTATGAGATCTTGCGTACTGGAAATATTGGAAATCAGGTTCAGTTTTATTTTACAACTCTTACTAATGCTTAAATGTTTTAGATAAATCTGAGTTTATTACTAGATGAATCACTAACTCTGATAGTATTTGATGAATGATGTCTGTTCCTAGCTCACATAGCGCATTGGGTTTGTGCTCATGATTGATTGAAAGTCACACTACTAAACTCAGTACTTAATCACTATTAATATATATTATTTAACATGTATTAAGAATAGCTTCCACTGCTTGGATGAAGATAAAGCATGTCCAAAGTGAAATACTAAATGTAAACCTTATCCCAGTTCAGAACTTTACACATAGAATCAGTCATGTGGGTTTAGAGGTTTTTCTGTTCTTTCATAGGACATCTGAGAACGACATGGTGTTTGTACTGATCACAGAGTAAATAGATTCTATCAAGCCTGTGTGATCAACATGAATACACATGCCAATACCATAGCACCAAACTATGATGTCATATTTGATATATAGCATTTTGGTCTATTAATTATGACATCGATGCTAAATTAATCTTCACATATCCATTTATTCTCTTTATCCCTTTGACCTCACACTAGGAAAACAGAATTGTGTGAGTGTAAGGAACTCAGCTGCATTAACCTTTTGTTAACACAGCAGCCAGTAGCACTTCAGGGAAAGGCTGTCCTTAACCTCAGGATTCTAAAAGGTCCAATTATCAGGGACTGAAAAAGAAAACAACAGCAGGAAGTTAATGGCAAGTAGATTTGCTGCCCAAACCCCACCTTTATGTTCTGTATCCACATGCATCAGGCATAAACAAAGCTCAGCGGTCTTACCTTGACCATCACACCAGTAAGATTTCTAACTTTTACAACTCCAAGCAGCTGACTTATGTTATAAATCATTTATTTTTTCCAAACTCTATATAAATGTGGTTATTGAAAACGTCACAATTTCATATCTATTCAGATCACCATACATCTATGTTGAATATGTTTTTGTCCAAAATCCCATGCAGAGTAAAGGAAGACTTCAATACCACAGAATGATATTTGTATCCTGGAAGATTGTACTGGTGTGTAGTGATGTACTCTTTGTACTTAGTTCTCTAAGTGTTTACCTGGCACACTAGTTTGAGAGCCATGTCTTCAGCTATTCTCCATAAGCTGTATTCCCATAGTTGCATCTCCCACTTATTTTTCCCTCAGAACCGCCATTCCATCTCTGGTGGATAGCAAAAAGACAACCCATACACAATTACACTGAGAGTTCTGTTCAGTCTCCTTCTTCCCTCTATGAGATAATTTTGCCTTTACTCTCCACTGCCATCAAGGTGATGCTGACTTACAGAGACCCGATATGGGGTTTCTAAGGCTATAAGTCTATACAAGAGAAGATAGCCTCATCTTGCTCCCTCAGAATCCATAGACGCGTGTGAACCACCGACCTTTCACTTAGCAGTTCAGTGCGTATCAACAGCAAGATCAGAGCTCCAGATAGGAGAGGGTATCTCTCGATGGATTAGGTAGAGCAAACCAGATATTTGGGGTGACCTATGTCAGTTTCCTCCCTCTTGTTATGGCCAAAGCTTCCTCCAGCATTGACACTCTTCTCCAGAAAGGATTCCTCTGTACTTGTTCTACTTCCCTCCATCTTCATGGGTACACCTAAAATCAGCAGCGGTCCTCTTTGAAGTGACCTTCTACAGCTGTCCTCACTCCTGCATGCCACTTCTCCCATTCAGACCACTTTTGCCCACTGTACTCTATTCTCCATCCTAAAGCCATGCAAACTGTGAATGATAACTCATATCTCTTCCCTAACCACTCTCTGTGCATTTTTTTCCCTCAGAAGATTTCTGCAGTTCTCTGATCAAAATGTATACTGTTATGGTTCGGAATGACCTGACCCTTTGCTATCTAATTGCTAAATATACCATCTTTATCTTCACCCAGAGCTTCCAGAATCAAATTCTGTCTTTGTATTTCCTCCCTGAGTAAGGCCTTAAATACTGGCTTGATGTCCGTGTTTATCGACCCTCCTTCCCTTCGCACTCTTTGCCAGATTTGTATGTTTGTTTCTCTTGATCATTGGGAAGTCTTGGTTGTAAATTCAGCAACTTTCTGAGTGAAGCACCCATAATCTCTCAGACTACTCATAATCCCTTTTTTGGTGTGCTTATAGTAACTGCTGTCTAGTTCTTTCTTAATTCCTTATTATACCTTTTATAATATTAACTTCTGTGTTTATTTGATGGCTTATCTACAAAGGTAAATCCTATCTAGAAAGGGTATATCTCTTTGCTCAACATGTTACCTTATCATAAAGCATGTAATTACTCAATAAACATGGATGCATAAAAAATTTTTAGAATCATAATGAATTTGATGAAGACTCTACTAGTTTTTGAATGAGTCATGGTGCAAATTAATATTCACAACAATCTTATATGTCTGAAACCATTACATAACTCTCTATTAAAATAATTGCATATTTAGATACAGTAATTTTGTCTACTCACAATTAAAGCCTTTTCAGTAGTGGAGATGGATTTTTAATCATTGCCATCTTACTCCAGACCCTGTGCTATAAGAATCTGCTCAGCCAAAGGGAACAAAAGAAGTTCTAACTGGAGGTGTAGAAACAGTTCGCAGGTTGCCTTCATGAAAATTATGTTTGTGCTTCCGTGTTTAGAGCAGGCTTCTAGAGGTGGCGATTGATGGAGAAGCAAAGCTCCATCAGACAGGACCTTCCAGACCAAGCTAGCTAATACACCCTTATTTTCAAATTTATGGCAGATTCAGTGCATTTTGTTTTATAATTGAGCTAAGTTATGAAGGAATACTCTAGTTAGAGACAAAAATAACTTACTTTCATGCTCAAAAAGTTTCATGGCATGAAATATACTTCCGGACTCCCAAGTATGACTACTGTATTGTCACATGAAGACCAAGCTTACTGCCAGTGGTCGATGCCAACTCATAGAGACCCTGTGGTAGAAGTGTGCCTGTGAGTTTCTAG